ATTTATCTTTGTTATCTGTACCTCTTGTGCACTTCTCTGTATCTTGCTATTCCTTAGTGTTACTGTGTTGGTCACGTACTTCTGGTATATTCTCTTTCCCTTCACCCAAATTAATACTTATCTCTTACATAGCTAGCAATTTTCCATCCCCGCCTCTCCCATCCCTGGTAACCAACAAAGAAAATTTCTTTCCATATATAAACCATTGCTTGACTTTTTACAATACTAAACTAACACAATATTTGTCCTTCTGTGATTGACTTACGTAACTCAGCATAATGTCCTCCAAGTTCATATACGTTATGTGGTATTGTACAGATTCTACATTCTTTAGTGTTGCATAGTATTCCATTGTGTGTATGTACCAATGTTTGGTTATTCATTTTTCTGTTGATAGGCACTTAAGTTGTTTCTATCTCTTTGTTATTTTGAATAGTGCTGCAGTGAATATGGGTGTGCATATATGTATTCATGCCCTGCCTCTCACTTCTTTAGGATATATACCTAATAACAGGATTGCTGGATAATGATATTTCTATTTCCAACTTTTTAAGGAATCAACCATACTGATTTCCACGGTGGTTGTATTATTTACAGTCCCACCAACAGTGTAGAAGAGTCCCAATTTCTCTACATCCTCACCAGCATTTGTTACTTTCTTTCTTGTTGAACTTTACTGTTAGTGCTAGAGTGAGATGGTATCTCATTGTTTTGATTTGCATCCTGAGATACTCTTTAAACCTTGAACAAGAACTATCCCTTGAGATCATCTTTTAGTGGAATAACAGAGTGGCACCCAAAGTAAAGGATGTTACCCATAACTGTGGTGCTTTAGTAAACCAAATATGTATGACCAAAAAGTCAACATTTACACTAAAGCAAAGATGAGAAGATAAGGGGGCAGGGAAACTACAGAGCACTGGAAAGGGAATAACCAGCACATAAGAGAATGTTGACACATTGTGAAAAATGTTATTAATACCACTGAACAGTTTGTATAGAAATTGTTAAATGGGAACCAAATTTACTGTATAAACTTTTGTCAGAAACACAGTAAAATACTATTTTAAAAATTTCAGTGTTTTTGGAGGGGCTGGCAAGATGGCGGACTGGGCAGAAAGACTGCACAGACCCTCTTCAAAAAAGAAAAAGGAAACCAATTAACACAGACACAGAAGATAATCCTGGACCCCTGAGCCTTGAAGGGAAGGATATAGAAGTGGACTAAACC